TGCGGCCCGCGGGCAGGGGGCTGCGTGTGTCCACCGCGGGGCCTGTGGAACCGCCCGCCAGCGGCCCGGTGTCGCCTCTGCGGAATTTGAGGCAAACGCCGACATTGAGGGGGTTCAGGGTAGAGACCGATACCGCAGTGCCCGCTACAGCCGGACCCGAGGTCCCTGGGGACGTCCGAGTGAAGTCCTCAGTGGGGGGCAAACGTCAGACCGCAGGTATCCTTAGCGTCACGGCCGTTTTCTCTCCTCCTCCGCAGAAAAGTGGTGACTATCGCCAAGTCAAAGAAGTTTCGGGATCATCACGGGAAGGTTCTGCTGGAGGGTCACAGGCTGATCAAGGATGCCCTGGAGGCAGGAGCCGTGCCGCAGACTCTCTTCTTCAGCGCTGTGGGGCACCTGAAGGAACTGCCCGAGGCAAAGCTAAAACGAGCCAACTTACTTAAAGTGAAATTTGAAGACATTAAGAGCTGGTCTGACCTCATAGCTCCTCAGGGGCTTATAGGTAAGTTGCCTTAGAAACAGTCACAACACTGCTCGAAGGGAAACTTATTTCACACTTAATACTAAGTCGATAATGACTCTCTCTTCATAACCTTTCCCTAGACATTCTGTCAGTGTGTCAAGAGTGGCATAACTTGAGAGAATTCCCTTTTATTTGCCCTGCTGTGGTAACTGTGAAAGTGGCTCCTCGAGTACACTGAAGGTGATAATGCGCATTTTTAATAGCGCGTCACTCCAGCTCTGCTGGGAAACAGTTCTCCTTGTCAAGTGACAAACTTTTCTCAAACTTCTCTTAAGCCGTGCTTTTTCTAATGCTTTCTCTAGCACCTCTTTAGTGAAATTTGGGCTAAATCACAGACAGCCCTCTCCTTGGGGTGTGTTAGTCAGAAACCTGTCAGCACTTTGTCTCCTCAGGAATCTTTTCCAAGCCTGACCATGCCAAGATGTCTTACCCTGCCACTCAGCTAACCAGCTCCTTGCCACTGCTCCTTATCTGCGATAACATCCGAGATCCGGGAAACCTGGGGACTATTCTGAGATCTGCAGCAGGAGCAGGCTGTGAGAAAGTGCTGCTCACCAAAGGTAAGAGCCTTTCCCCCGGGGGAAAATAGTTTAGTTTGAGTAATTTGGGGGGAAGGCAGGGAATTAGAAGTGCTTGAAGATGTTGTTCCCAAGAGCTTGTAGGCAGTGCCTGGCCCGGACACGGTTTGCTGCGAGAAGCAGCGGCTGCTGAATCCATCTTTGTGGGAGCCGCTGCAGCGTTGCTGTTTTCCTCCCTTCCATCCCAGGCTGTGTGGATCCGTGGGAGCCCAAGGTGCTCCGTGCAGGCATGGGAGCTCACTTCCGTCTGCCCATCGTCACCAACCTGGACTGGGAATCCGTTCCCAGCAACCTTCCTGCCGGCATCAAGGTCTGTGTGGCAGACAACAAAGACCCAGGTGCTCAGGTTGAGACCACGTCCGTGTTGATGGGAGCCGGCAGGGCTGGCTCTGCTCCTGGCAACCTAAAGGCTCCCGTGAAATCCAAACCCCAGGCCGCTCCTGAGCACGAGGATAAGGAGGGAGCGACAGGTGTCTGCGTCCCAGAGCTGGCCGCACAGTATTACTACGAAAACTGGACACAGACTCCAGTGGCAGTGGTGATCGGCGGAGAGACCCATGGTCTGAGTGCAGATGCGCTTCACCTCGCGGCCAGCACGGGGGGAAAGAGACTGGTCATTCCCGTGGTGCCAGGCGTGGACAGCTTGAACTCTGCTATCGCCGCTGGCATCGTGCTGTTTGAGGGGAAGAGGCAGTTGCTGCGGAGGCACAAGCAGGAAGATGAAAGGCAGAAGTTCCCTGTAGTGGCCTAAACTGCTGAGGTTTGGGTGCTGAAGAAACACCTCTTCCCTTTGGTGCGCTGTAGAGTTAATAAAAGAGCAGCTCGGGCTGTTTGGTTTGCAGTAAATGAGTATTGAACAGCTCTGGCAGCGTTGGAGCTGTGCCTGGATGAGTGTGAGACTCCTGGGCAAGCCCATGGGCACTCTGGCCGCACGGTGATGCTAGTGAGAAGGGAAAGGCGGGCGGGTGGGAGCCCTCGCTTTGCTGGCAGCCAGCTCCCCGCTGCCCGGCTCTTCTCGCTCTCTCACCCAACAGATCTGGGGAGGCCTCGGATCCCTCCCTGCGGGGTCAGGGCGCAGCTGCCGCAGCAGCGGTTTTGGCCAGCCCAGCCAGGACGCCGCTGACAGTGCGTCCTTCCTCTCGCAGCCCCGGGCTGCGCAGCCTGGCTGCTGCTAATGGTTTTGGGGTCAGGCTGGCCCGGGCTGGCTGTGGTTTGGGGTGTCCAAGCTCTGGCACTCCTGACTGTGCTGCTGCCCAGGAGATGGCAGGGTGAGACCCCGTGCAGACACCTGGGCACCGCTCGTTCTGGCAGCTGGGCCTCGGGGCAGATGAATTGTGAAGGAGGGGAAGGGTGGAAAAGGAGCTGTGGGCACTGCCGCGTGCTGTGGCTGTCTCTCAGAGGGGAATGGGTGCTGGGCCCCAGGGAAGGATTTTTCCTCAAAAAATCCCCAGTAAAGGGGATACGAGTTAAGTTAGGGGAGGTTGCTCGCAGCCCAACGCTGAGGGAGGTGCAGCACACGCAGCCCCCTCCTGCCCTCCCCAGCTCAGTGACCGGTAAGGTGGACAACGCTGCTGCTCCTCCCACAGCTCTCAAGTCAGGTATCACCACTGAACACAAGAGCCTCTGAAACACACAAAACACAGGGTGGATTTATATGGTTCCTGCCTTGCCAAGCCAGCGGCTTTTCCCAGCTCCTGCCAGGGTGGGTTGCTGTAAGCAGCGATAGAAGGGGAGAGGCTGTCATCCTGCCCATCGCTAACGAATGAGCTGAAAGGAAAAAGCACTGGCTTGCACAACATCCGTAATTCAGTGCACACCAGTACGCCTCCAAGATGCCGCCCTCCCGGGGATGCTGGCAGAAACCATCACAGCTGCAGCTGTGGGTCCAGCAAGAGCCAGGGGGGACCCTCAGCTGGGGGCACAGTCCGTGGGGTGGGTGGGTGCAGCGAGGCAACGCTCACCCCTCCACAGCGTCTCCATCCGGTCACCATCTGGCTGCCAAACAGCTCCTTCCTGCCCAGGGCGGAGGGGCTGTGCCAGGCACCATCCCGCTTTGGCCCCAGGGTGAGCCAGGCACAGGCGGGGGGCTGCGCTAGTCAGGGGGGGAAAAACACACGATCCCGGCTTATCCACAGCAGCGCCAGGAACTGCCGGCACCTACCCACAGGGCCTGGCTGGGGCTCCTCTTCCCACACGGGTCCCAGGCAGGCTCCCTCTCCCAGACGGCAGGACACGGCAATCGGCACCTCCAGGGACAAGGTTATTATAACAGTTTTATTACAAAGTTCCAATCACCATGTACAGTTTTTACAATGTCACTTTTCAAGGGCTCGGCTGTGCTGCTTGGGTTAGGATTTTTTTTTTTTATTTGGGGTTTTTTTGGTTATTTTTTAAAGAACAGCACCATTAACGTTGGGTTTGGGACACACCTATGAAAAACAGCTCAATTAACTAACATAGAGGGGACAGGACAATTCATACCAGAGAAGAGGAGAGAGGGAGAGGAGATGGGGAGAGCACAAGGGACAGACAGAGGGGTGAGGGCAGCCTGGTGGTGGTCCTCCTCCCGGCTCAGCGAGGGCAGGAATATCTCCCCATGGCAGGTGGGTGACCCCCTGACACGCACACCCACCGCCGCCTACGGCTGTCAGTGCTTGGGGTGGGAGGTGGGAAACCCACCCGGAAAAGTCTCACCCCCGGGAGGAAGAGCTCGGCTGTGCTGTGGTCTTTCAGAGGTTGTCAGCAGTTAAGACTTTGTCTTGGCCTCCTCAGGGCACTGGTACTTGGGGGAGGGGGAAGGGAGGATGGGCCAGGGAACAGTTTCCTTATTGCTTCCTTAAAAGTCGTTTAGTCAGCAGAGGTGGTAGGAAAGGAAAGAAGGGGTAGGAGGAGAAGAAAAGAGCCCCGAGAACCCCATCCACTGCCTGATGCATATGTTGGGAAGAACACCATGCAAAAAGATTTGCCTGCTAGCTAGTGCCGTGTATAAAATAACGATACGGTAACAGTTCTGGCCTGGTTATTAGAGAATATATCACCATGAAGCACAAGCGAAGTCTCCAAACGCCAACGACTCCCTGCTGAAAGTGCATCTCAAGGAGTTTGCTTAGGAGAAGGATTCACTGCGTAAAACAAGGCACCACAAGAAAGTTGGATACTGGGTCAGGCGTGAGGACACGCTGGAGAATCCACAAGCGGCGGAAGAGAGACCTAGTTTTAAATAACGTCTGTTGGCGCAGAAGCCCCCTTAGATGGGCTCGGGTTTTAGCTTGTCTGCTAGAAAGTCGCTGACAAAGGCTTCCACGATTTCAGGCGTGATCTCCTCCACATCCATCACATACTTAGCCCGGGCTGACATGTCCAGGATGGTGAGCAGGGGCGCAGCCTCGGGCAGGTTGGTGTAATCCCGCAGGGAGTCGGTCATGTCGTCCTGGAGGCCAAAACGAGAGGGAGAGAGGAGTCATCACAGAGCCAAGACACCAGGAACTGTTTGCTGCTTCTGCATCATGTCCAGCGCACCACTATCTCCCAAGGGCTTTGCACCGGCACTGCAGGACCACGAGCGCAGCAGGCAGCACCCGCCTTGCTGCCTGTTCTGCCTGTGGTTTGCATCAAAACCAAACCAGGCTGATTCATCCCGGGCTGGGCTGGGACCTCATGCTCCTCCAGCCCTTTCCATGAAGGACAGCTCCCAGCGCCCCCAGACTGACCCCGCACCCCCTCTGGGGCAGGAGCGATTTCGGCATCTCAGGAGCTGGTGACAAGTGCCGAACGTGGGGACTCGCCAGCCCTCTGCCAGCACGGCCACGGCCTCACCACTCACCAGGGGCGGGTGCCGAAGGGACCCGGCTGCACGCCCGGAGCAAACCAGAAAACAGGAATGAGACAA